CTTCTTCCATGTTCCCCAAATCCCTAAGGCTGAGAAGCAAGTGTAGCTTCATCACATGTCTCAGTGCTCCAGCTGCCGCCTCCAGGTGGTCTTCTTCTCCATTCTTTCCCTTCTCCAAGCCTCGTCTGCAGCTTCTCTTCCTCCTTGCTCAACTCCACCCTTTATTGGGTGGGGTAAGAAACTTGGAACCTCCCCTTCCTGTAGAGTCCACCCTGTTGTGTGGTATGTTAGCACACATTTGTAGAGGTATGAACCTTACACCCCTAAAACATAGACAGTGTTATAGAACAGCATTACCTCAATAAACATAGTTTTTAAATATTGAATATATCAAAAACAAAAGGCCTTATTGTGAAATGATGCCAAGTACTTCCTGCAGGTTCATATTTCATTAAGTAGGGACTGAACAGCACAATTTTTTAAGTAGAATTCTTTTTTTTAAAGCAGTTTAGTGTTCTCAGCAAAACTGAGAGGAAAGTATAGAGATTTTCCATCTAGCCTGTGCCCCATTCCCATCTTATATAGTTATTCCCTTCCCCCCCCGACACACTTTATATATAGGACCCCTCCACCAAAATTGTATCTTTTTTACAAATGATAGTCTGACTTGATAAGGCTTTATATTCCAAAGTCCATAGTTTACTTTTAGAGTTCCCTCTTGGTGTGGTACATTTTGTGGGTTTGTACAATTGTATAATATATAAATGAATAATGGCAAGTTTCAACCACTACAGCTTCATATAGGGCAGTTTTCACTGTCCTCACAATCCACTTTTGATGTAATTTTCAGTAGCTTATGAAGTCAAAAATGGAGAGTTGGAGACACATCTGTAAAACAAACTCCCCATAGAACCCTAAAGTTTTTTGGCATAATTGGGCAAACAAAGTGAAGAACCCAGGCTTCTTATCTCTTATCTCAAAGAGCCTACTCTTGGTAGTTGCACAATTTGAGATGACATGAATCATTTGAAGCCATATAAGTCAGGGCCATGAAACACCCCAGAATTTCTGTATTTGACCCCTTGAGCATTACATTCTCTTGTATTCCTGTAGAGTGTTTCCATGCCTTTATTAAACACTAGCTTTTGCATTAGAGGGGAAGAAAAATCTCTTCAGCTTATTCTCTGTCACCATTATATCAGATCCTATTCCCCACTGTCAAACATTATTCTTGGAAGAGGACACCTAGGCCTGATGATCTGGGTTGTTTGTCTAGGCATTTCATCACACTGAACATGTGGTTGCCTTTTTTTCCATACTGAACTTTTTTCATAGTCAGAAGCTAGTAAGAAGACTACACACAACCAACTGGTTTCTTTGGGTCTATTAATTCTGACCTAAAAGCTGCAAACCTCTTTTACTGATAAAAAGCTTTGAATAATACCATCTTCATTACCTAGTAGCCGGTAACTTTTTTCTTACAAGACCTTTTTTCAGTATTGTACAGAAAAAGAAAAATTGATTTTATTTTACTTCTTTTCAACTGTATTAGGACGGAAAACAAGTGCTTAGCCAGAGGACATATGGCTGGAGGAAAATACACTCACACTGTGTAATGTACAGAAAGCATGTTAGAAATCTTAAATAAGTGGTTGGGTTGCTGGACATCACCTTCCAATCAGGGTAGCCTCTGGGGCTGAGCTCAGCAGTTTAGCCCAGAAAAGTCCAGGTGGGAGACCTTGAACCTCTTCTATTTACAGCAGAGAAAACAGAGGCACCAAGGAACCATTTTACCCTAGAAACAGAAAACTGGTAGGCATAGAGTTGAAGCTGCCCATTTTTTAGTACTCCCAATTATTTCTAGTTTTTTTCAAAGAGTGTTTTGATATTTTAAGACTAATGCATCTTCTAGGAGAGTTTATAAATTGATATTATATACTAATAAAAGCTAGGAAAGTCTGGGTGCAAGCATTAGGATCTGAATTTGAATTTAAATCATAAATAAAACAAGACTTCAACATTCAGATGTTTAGAGACTTCGCGCAATTGTTCATTTGTCATGAACTTTGAAAGAAATCAGATTTTCTAGAAATCTGAAATGGTCTTTTTCACTGATCTCTTGGCTATTGTCCATAGTCTGCCACTTGCTCAGGAAAAAACCATATACTTTAAACATATGACTGTATAACTACCTTTAAACACAAAAACCAAACCAGCCACCTGTATCAAAACTAAAAGGGGCAAGAATGAACAAACTCCTTATAACCCTTCTCCCCATTTAGCCCACTTCTTCTCCTCCCACTGTCCACAGCCCACAGCCCGTGTGCAGGTATGCTGTGTGTTTGCACTTAGATTACTTTAAAATAAAAACAAATCTAATTGAAGATTGAGGCTCTTCCATATGAACACATTTTGGAGCTACTGTTTTTAAATAGGTTAGGAAACTTTCTGGATCTTGTCAAGAGAAAGAAAGGAACCACTCAGTGCTTTAAACAAGGAAAGCATAAAGAATTACTAACTTCAACAGGATTAGAGTGAAGAGGGATTGGCTAGTGAGAAGTAAACTAAAATATACAGGACCAGCCTATGTGAATAGCAGTTAGTGACCATCCTCAGAGTGGAGCTCCACACTTTACTGGACAGGGCATAGCTGTGGCTCACTATATGGCTCAGAAACCACACTGGTGAAATTTGCCATAATTCCATGCAGAAGTGTCTGGGAAAGCATTTGCATTGAGGTTTCTCACCAGGAACAGGGTGCTATTGGCAGTCATTTCCTTCAGGAGTCTGCTGCTGGAAAGGCAGACTCTGAAACAGTGCTATTGCAGTGCTATCATGGATCAAAGTACAGTACCCAGGTAGAGATATTGCCAGGTCTCTGTCTATGGGTCCGTGCACACAATTGTAAGACCACTCAAGCTCAGGGAACAACAGCACAGGGATATATTTAGCAAATGAAAATAAGAAGAGTTTCTAAGGCCACAAGTGGCCAGCTATTTCACCCCAGATACTGTCCGGTGTCCAGAAGTCCCAAACAAAAGTCTTCCTACTCAGTATGGCACTGTCCCATCAACAAGGGCCTGGAGATGGTGGCATGCCAGCAAGCAGTGGGCCAAGATCCAACTTCTAATGTCAGCTGGAGGTGCTCATAGGTGGGACCACTGTGATAACCCCACAGCAGCCCATAACAACAGTCTAAAGGCCAGCCTGGACAACTCTAGAAGCTGAACTGGACAACTCTAGAAGCTGAACTCTAGAAGCTGAACTCTAGAAGCAACAGCATTAGGGGGTATTGCTGGATGATCAGAAGGAACCCAAACACAGAGTGCCAGTCACCTGTCAGTAACACTGAATAGTACTGGCTAGTAGGTCAGTCACCACCCATCACCAGGAGGTAGTGTCAAAGACACCAGTGTTATCAGCTCTTTTTGCATTTTTGTCCCACACCAATAACAAACTGCTCTTGGAGACACCAGGCTGAGGCCTTTGGTGCTCCTTTCTGAGGCTGGGCCAGAGACAGCTATAGGAATCAGGTCTCTGTGACAGTCTTTGGCTTCTCTTTTCTTCAGAGGTTGGCTGCGGGATGCTCATTCTTTAGAAGCCAGCCTCCATTCCTCTTCTTTCTTTGGAGGCCAGGAAGAGAATACTACTAATTTCTTCAGTGCTGTTCTTCAGGAACAGCATTTCTGAGTGGTTCCTGCCTTGTCTCATATCTTCTTTCAAAGTCGTCCCCTACCCTATAAACTTGATTGGACTGTTTTCAATCCTAAATTACTAATTGGACCATTCAGTACAATTAGCTCATTTTTTTTTATTTTCTGTCTGAATAATCAATTAATGAGCTGATTTAACCTGATTGGCTCATTCTGCTCATACCTGGTTGGCCTACTTTATAATTCAGAAGCCAAATATAAAAGGGAAAATTTGGTGCCTGCATAGACCCGTCCTGCCCTGACCTCAGGGCAGGCACATGTTCTGGTGGGCTCAGAGGAGCCACAGGCTGGAGACACTAAACCAGGGACCCCTTCAGTGGGGCTGGATGTAAGAACCTGAAGCCAGGGGAGGCACTTGCAGTACCTCTGGAACATGGGTCCGTCCATTGGCAGGATTTAGGACGTGTGACAGATCTAAATGTGATGGAATTTGGGGAGCCACAAGTTCCCTTAGACATCACAGGGGAAGCTATGGAACTCTCAACTACTTTGAAGAATCATTTAGCATAATTCTGCTCCCAAGGGTATACCTCAGAGAAAGTCTTTTACGTAAATGTTTTACATAGTACAGAAGGAGATTTATGTGAGTATTCATAGCAATCCTGTTCACAATATCAAATCCTGGAAATGGCCCAGAGCCTATCAGCAGGACAAGTGGAGTTTCATACAACAGGAGAAACCTCTGTGACATGCAGCAATAGGAATGACTCTTAGCAATTGAATATTAAATTTTAAAAGGCTTGAGAAGATTACAGATAGTATGAAAAATGTTCATAAAACATGTGGAACTCAATATGCATATATTTGTAATAAATGAATATATCTGTTTCATGGATGCACTAATAAAGGAAAATTTGAATCCAGAATTTAGGATAATAGTTGCTTCCAGTGGAGGAAGCAAAAGAATGGATTGGTGGGGAGGGCCACTTAGTTAGAAGTGAGCTATTGTCAAGGTCCTAGCTTTTATTTTGGGTGATAGGTTTTTAGGGACCTTGTTATAGTTCTGAAAATAAGATCATGAAGTACATGGAAAACAAAAATAACTCTTAAGGGGTTCCCAGGGTGAAGTAGAGATTCTTGTTTACAAAGGCTAGCCCTTTGGTTTTCTTTTCTTTTTTTTTTTTTTTTTTAAGTAGTAGTATTCTGGATCCTGGAACAAATGTTTTGTTGTTGAAAGTTACTTAAGTACAGTGACCCAAAGTTAACAAATTAAGCTTTCCAGATGGGGTTCATATAGTGATAAGTATCATATGCTTTATATTTAGTGCATTAATATTATAGCTATTTCTGTTCTTTCATAGAAATTTTACATTTTTTTCCCTTTCTTAGGACAAAGTTAAACTATAACCCTCCAAAAGATGATGGATCAACCTATAAGATTGAACTTGAAGGGATATCGGTAATGGTTATGAAAGAGATCCTGGATTACATCTTCAGTGGGCAGGTATGATGAGAAACAAAGGAAGGAAGACTAAGTAGAGGCTCCCCGAGCTCAGGGTGAGGGTCTCCATTCTGTGATGAAGTAGAACTGTCATTGTCATCTTCTGTCACTGTGCCCTTGACCCAAGATTCCTGTTGGTGATGGCGCCCACATGTGTTCTTCAGGGCTCTGCTCTTGAAGGAAAGGCAACTAAATGAGACGTTGCCCAGATGCCAGGTTTGTGCTTACTGTTTGCACTCCAACTCCCGCTAGAGAATTGCAGCTCCCGTGTGCTTCCTGCACTGCTGTCTTTAGTGTTTTGTCTTCAAGCCATGGTTCCAGTCTTGCTCTGCATACACTGCTGGGAATGCACTTTGCCTCTGTAGCATGAAAAGGGGAATCTCCTGAGGCAGTGGGGGCTTTTGGAGAAATAAGGAGTTCCGGAGTCACACAGAGAACACCTACCTGCATCATATTCCAGATGTCTTGATCCTGCTGCCTCTGTAGAACCAGCATGTCTGTTCTACCTCCATTCTTTCTTCTGTATTTCCCTTTGCTCTCTGTTTCCACTTGTATTCCACGATTTGAAACACAGGAAAGAAAGACTTCTGTTTCTTTGCCTTCTTCCATCCCTCCCCCACCCCCGCACAGCCCCCATTATGCCATCTAAGTGTCTCCAAAGGATTCTAAAGAAAAACCTTAGGTGTGACCAGAGCTAGTTGTTAAAACAGAAAGGAGTCTTGTATCTTACATTGTGCCTTTTATCTGTCCCCAGGTTTTGTCTCCTACTACTCTCTTACTACTTTTACATTGTTCTTGTTTTACTTGTCCTTTCTGTGTCTCCCACGTATTTTCCTAGAATATACCGAGAGTGCTGTTTACCTCCTTTAAATATATTCATTCTGTCCAGAATCAAGCTTGGTGACTGTGATCCTTTTTGACATTTTTAGTTTAATTTCGTGATGTTATTCCCTTCCATTTTCTCTAAACTGAGTGGTGTGATACAAAGGTATGTGTGTGTTTTCACTTGTATTCCACAATTTGAAAATTAGTTTTGGAAAAACCCTTAAAATACTGTAGCGCACAAAACCAGGTTTAGGAACCGTTTCCTGTCTAATCTAAAAGTCAACTCAGCAGTAGTCACAAGTTATAAGCCAAGAGGAACATATTCAAGTTCTGGCTTGAAAGTCTCTTTACATATTGACTTCTGTATTTTGTTCCTAACTTAAGTTAATTATGGTTAAAAAATTTGTTACAGTCTAAGTTACAAGAGACTCCTAATTTGGTAGTTTCGTTTTGCCAACTTGAAATTTGGCATTTTTCCTGTGCGCGTGTTTGAATTGTCCATACCTACCCCCAGTGCCTCGTGGCTACATTTAATATGTCTTGTGAGTGGGAAATTGACTCATATCTGTGGCTTACTGTGCATATTTGCCCACAGTTTTGTTGCCCAGCTTTTCAGATGATTACATTTTTCTTTTTGGTATTTCTGGTATAAAACATAATAAATGTTTCTTGCTCTGGTCTGCTTTGAAATTTCTCCTTCATATTTTCGTATATAAAAAAAGCTCCCAGTCTTTGAGAGTATCTGCACCCCTTGTGGTGTGGCAGTATTTGAGAGGCCCATTTCTTTACAGTGACTTTCTGCCATGTGAGAAAACTGTAAGAGGGGGTGGAGGAGGAAGCACTAATCAGAAAAGTAAAGACAATTAAGGAAAACTAAATGTTCGTAGTTATTTTTAAAAAGCATGTAGTAGGGATTTATTCCAGAAAGTTATTTGGAGCCCCTCATGTAGTATTCATTGTGCTGAGTAAAGTGTTTTGGAGTTGAGGACTGGGTTCTGAGGCAGTATAGTCATCTCTCTTCCAGGGGCTTGTAGTCAGTTTGAGATATCTTTTGGAAAAAGAGTAAACTTTATATATTTGGAGGCATGATTTTTAACAGTTCTGGTGCTGTTATTTAGAAGTCACCTTCAGTTTCCCTTAGAATGTAGGATTTTCCATTTCCGAAGCATATCTATTGTTTAAGGCACTTCTCTCAAGCAGGGGAGTGCTGGGAATGTGAAGCAGCCACATGCTGCTTATGTTGTTTGAAGGTTCCTTGGTATTCCCCAGACATTTCTTGAAAAGAAATTTGGTTAAGTTATGGAGAACTGCCAATATTTGACCACCTTCATGGAAAAAAAAAATGAAAATTTCATGTGGTTCCATCTAATAGATTAGTGTGGGTGGGTCTTAAATACAAACATTAAGATGTGGGTGATATTTTTACAGATACGGCTGAACGAAGACACAATCCAAGATGTTGTACAAGCAGCAGACCTTCTCCTGCTGACAGATCTTAAAACACTGTGTTGTGAGTTTCTAGAAGGCTGTATTGCTGCTGAGAACTGCATCGGAATTCGAGACTTTGCACTTCATTACTGCCTGCACCACGTCCATTACCTTGCTACGGAATATCTGGAGACACATTTCCGAGATGTCAGCAGCACAGAAGAATTCCTAGAACTGAATCCTCAAAAACTTAAAGAAGTGATTTCTCTTGAGAAGTTAAACGTTGGCAATGAAAGATATGTATTTGAAGCAGTAATTCGATGGATTGCACATGATACAGAAATAAGAAAGGTACCTGTAATTTATAACATGACCAAACTTTGCCTATTTACTTACTTCATTTTGTGTGTTTTTTTGTCTAGTTCCAATTTAGATATTTTTCCTTCAATTCAAAAGATTTATAAAGCTATGATCTTATAAATAGTTGCAGAGCATCTTCCCCTAGATTGTTAGTGACTTGTTCTTTAGACCAGGCTACAAAAGTTGCAGTAGCTCACCAGGTATAATGAACATCTTAATACTTGCAAGGAACAAAAAAATTCCTTATAGATTGTTTTTAATAAGGAAATGCATTTCAGACTTAGCCTGCAGTATCCCTCCCTAGCCTTTGGCTACGCCATGGCTGGCTGAACCCTGAAGAGACACAGATATAGATGTGGGCTTTCCCTGGAGTGACTGATAGCACTCTTGGGGAAAGCTGGGGAAGCACAGTGCTACTCTGGTGTTTTTGTGGCTCTGTGGTTCCAATTAGAAAATAACTGGGAATGACATCCTGGAAGGAAGGAAGGATGGGCCTTAGATCCAGTCTATTGCTACATTGGGGAAGAAAGCAAAATCACAGAACTTTCAGTCCCAAATTTATAAAGGGACCCTAATTACTATGATCAAAAAAGAAATACATTTGAGTGTAGATTGGTTTTCAAAATGTACCGTGTGCTCTGCACTCTTCCTATAGTGAATGTTGCCTTGTTTTAATGGCTATTTTGTCATTTTTTAAATTCTAGATGACTTGGAGTAAGTCCTTAGAGACACTATGGGTATGGTCTGTACAGTTAGCACGGTTCTGTTCAACTTCCATCTTAGTTGGGGGGTTTACTGCTCATGTAAACCCCCCATAGGAGACACTAATGCCATCAGCCTCTTCACCCTCTTCTAGCCTTAAGGTGTTAGGAATGCTCAAGTCAGTTTTGTTTGGGGGCACAAGAGCCAGTTCTTCATCCTTTGGTTAATCTGAACTTGAAAGACTTAATGGCTTTTTCCCCCCTTAGGCTATAGAAGAGTGTACCTTAAAGTAACTATTTGGAACCAAGAGAAACTGGTCATTTTTTTTTTTTTTTTTGCCTTACATATATAGAATGTACAGTTTGTTCCAATTTAGTGAGGTGGGGACAGAAAAAGTTACATATTTTTAAGCATGTTACACATGATACATATTTTTAACAGTAATTACTAAGGAAATGATTGTGTAAAAAAATGATGGATTTTTTTCATTAATGTTGATATATTTTTTCTCTAGATTACCATATTATATGAAGCTATTACTGTATGTAATATCTATAAATGTGATTTAATTCATAGCACATCCAAGTTACAGCAAAAGTCTTCTGAATATTCCTATCATTATTGGAACTCTTTAAAGTATAAAAAAAACTGCTTGAAACTTTGCAGTTCTACATCAAGTATAAATCTGAACTGTTGATTTTTTAAAATGAAATCCTTATGAAAGCTCTATGGGAAGTAGGAAAAAAGCCAGTAAAACACATACAGACAATACCAGCACTTATAACATGACTGTTGATAATCAACAATTTTAGTTTTTCATGAGTTGGAAAATATATATATCCCAAAAATTATATGTTGCATTCTGTTTTCTCGCAGGTCCACATGAAGGATGTTATGTCAGCACTATGGGTTTCCGGGTTAGACTCCAGTTACTTGCGGGAACAAATGCTGAACGAACCCTTGGTACGAGAAATTGTCAAAGAGTGCAGCAACATCCCACTGAGCCAGCCGCAGCAAGGAGAGGCCATGCTTGCCAACTTCAAGCCCCGGGGCTACTCTGAATGCATTGTGACCGTTGGTGGAGAGGAGCGGGTGTAAGTATGGGAGTGAGTTGTGGCAAAGTGGTGTGAGGAAAGAGATTCCTTTTTATTTTAATTTCTTTTTAGGGCATTGTTCATTTTTGTATAATGTTTGATTTCTCCCCTCAGGTGTAATCCCCATAAAATTCCTACCACTGAATCACCCATGATCCATCACCATAGCCTCTTGTGCTGTTCCCTCCCCAGTTTTTGACCCCAACCCTCCCACTTCCCCTGCTGTGTGTTTCAGATTTATAGTTTGCCTGCTAATTTTGTCTGTTTTATTTTCTGACACTTTGTCTATTTTCCCTGTATTCCTTCTGTAATTGAAACTATTTGATGCTTTTCGTTAGGAGAGATTTCCATGTAAATAAGAATTTATAATATTTCTCACCAGTAGATTTTTTTTAATATAATAGTTTATTTTTACATAATTTTCTGCCTTTTTCCATCTCAGTTGTAATCTCTGTAGGCTTCCCATCACCAAATCACCCATGTGCCATCACCATTGTCCAGTGCACTTCCTTCCTGACTCCATCCCATTTTTGGTCCCATTCCCCACTCCACCCCCGTAAAATGTCTCTTGTTATTATTATTCCCCCCCACCTGGTCCTTTATGGTCCAGTATTTTTCTTTTTCCTTCTGGCTTATTCCACTAAGCATGCTCTCCTATAGCTCCATCCATGTTGCTGCAAAAGGCATGAGTTTTATCTTTTTTGATCGCTGAGTACTATTTCACATCTTTTTAATCCAGTCATCTTCTCACCATTAGATATTTTTTAAGGATGCTAAACCAGAGTGGAAATACTCACAGTAGTTGTTTTAAGCATAACTATATAAAACCTGTTGACTACAAAACCATTATTATTTCCTTAGTTCGCGGAAACCAACAGCAGCGATGCGATGTATGTGCCCTCTTTATGACCCTAATAGGCAGCTTTGGATTGAACTGGCCCCGTTAAGCATGCCAAGAATTAACCACGGAGTTCTCTCAGCAGGTACCGTTCTGTGGTAAATTTTACATAAGTACAAGATTAAGTGATACATAATTTCAAGGTTGTATACAGTAACTCAAACCTCCTAAAGATAGAATTTGATTATCTTCCCTATGATGCCATTTTCAGCATAGCCTTGGTTTTTAAGATTGTGGCAAGACATGTCTTCTGTCATTGTTCCCAAATCTTTCATACATAGCAATTTTAAAGACTTTAGTAAAGGAGCGTTTTATTTGATGGTTAACAAATTTCAGACTTGCCTTGAATTAAGGCATTCCTGTCTTTGAGACTCCATCACTGTAGAATTATAAAAAATGAAAATGTTAAATAAAAATAGGCATTTCATGGGCTTTAGAAAATACTATTTAAATGAGTTATGGCTTAAAGTTATTTTAATTCTGAAGAAATGTTTTATTTGACCTTGACATATTTGAAGATAGCTTAATGAAGATGATAGAGACGTGCTGTTGCCTCACCACCCTTTGCTACCTTTCCCTTTCATCTTAGATCCGCCTTTTTGTTTTCACCCAACAAATACCATTCCCTCTCATTCTTAATCATTGTCAGCAATCCTTCTGGAGTTCACACTTAATAGCCTCTGCCTGTTTGCATTACATTTAATATTTTTAAAGCTATTCTATAGCACACCTTCTTATAGACATGGCTAGTGCTGTACAAATGCTATATATTAGTGTAGCAGTGAATCATTTTCTGGGTTCCAAAATTATGGAAGTTATTATCAACAAAAACAAGTGGCTGGAGTGATAGAGGTCTGACAGGATGTAGGTCTGATTTCCCTGTCCTGTCTTCTCAGCATTAGCTTCTTTATACATTTCCTCTCATAGAACATATACATAATCATAATGTTCACACCTGCAAAACTGTCACAGAGTATCAGAGTATCCTATCACTACTTTGTGAGGATTTCCCTAGAGGGGTTTGTATCTCAGAAACTTTAAGAATGAAGACAGCAATTGTGTGCTGTTATATTGACTGAAATTTGCTACACAAACAAAATTTCAGTTCAGGTTCATGTTCTGGTTGGGCTTCATCCCAAGGGTATAGAACATGGGGGATAATCTCATTCCAGAAGCCACACTTTCTGTGGGCCTGTCTTTTTCATCCCCCAAAGCCATGAAAAAAAAAAAAAAAGGTTGGAAATTTTCCAGATCATCATTGTGCTCAGAACAAATGATTTTCATGTGCAGTAACCTTACTAGGTCCCTCTTTTTTTCCTTCAGTGATGTCATGTAGTCTTGTCTTAATTCCTTCTAAGAAGATTTTGTTTTTTAAGATTTATTTGTGCATACAGAACTGGGATACAGGCCAGAGACACAGGGATGGTGAGAGGCTCACCAGAGACAGAGTGGGGAGCAGAACAGGCAGATCATCGAAGTACACTGCTGAGGGGAGCAGCGGGCGGGTCAGGAGAGGTCTGCCACACCATGTGGTCACCCCTGGGGCAGGCGGGATCGAACTCAGCCGAAGTGGATTTAGCTTCTTAGTGCTGTGCTTGAACCCGCTGCGCCATGGCAGAGAGCCACTAAGAAGACTTTTTAGTAGACTCAGTAGAAAAGAACTGAATCTTGCAGAGCCTACATGTCTGTCAGAGTAAGTACTGCCAGGCTTCCTTTTGTGCTGACAGGTGGCAAGAATCCAAAGATATCAATGGATGGAGTAAAGTCACTCGTAAAGGTGGCTCTGTCAGCAGGGAGTGAAGGAAATCTGATCATCTCAAACCTGACGTTATCAGAGACACTTTCTCGGCATGTCTCTCTAGCCATGGTGTTTATATTGGACAAAAGATAGGTGTTGAAAATTTAAGTTTCAACTCTTTTGAGTGTCTGTTTTGTTTTTTGTAGAAGGGTTTTTGTTTGTATTTGGGGGCCAAGATGAAAATAAGCAAACCCTCAGCTCGGGAGAAAAGTATGACCCAGATGCAAACACATGGACAGCATTGCCACCAATGAATGAGGTAAAATACTGTTTTCCTTCATTTGCTCAGTAGGCGCAGCTTTTCCCTGTAGCTCCTTTGTTTGTTTGCATTTGAATGTTAAGAAAAGAAGTAATGCCTCCCCCTCTGCCTTTCCTTCTGGTGCCTTCCTTTTGACCACTGACCTGACAGTTTCCAAACCTTGTAGAATGCTCCTAGGATGCTCCTGCTTCTGGACCATTGCCAGATACCTGTATGGCCTGCTCCTGGCTTCCTGCATTATATGTCTAGATAAGAAGGCCTCCCCTCCTCCCCTGTTTCCTCCCCCTCCCCTGCTTGCTTTCTCTTCATATCATGTGGCACTTTCTCATGTTAGGTTTTTCAAACCACTCACACAAACACTTAAATGGCAGATTTGTGTAGTTTTTCAGTTCTCTATCTTGGGTGCTGGGTGCATAGGAGACTCAAAGGAAATAACAATTGATGAATAAATGTAAAATCCCTCAAACTTCTGTTGATCTAGAACAATAAGCTTCTATTCTTCCAGAAGCCTTAGCATGAACCTGTCCTTCCCTGCCGCTCCCAGCCACAACAGACCTTGTTGCTGCGTCTTCCTTACCTGTCAGATATGGGCTTGGTACACCTACTGATCACTGCTACACACAGATCATTTTATTGACCCAGGAAGTAATTTTCTTGTTGTGTACTGTTGTGAGTAAAAAATAGCCATTCTGCCAGCAAATGCATCCTGAGTATAATTCCCTTGTTCTGAGGAGCTGTGGGGCTTGGGTGCTTCTTTCTGTTGTAGGAGAGTGAGCTGCTGGGGAAATCAGAACTCATTGAACATGGTGCTTTTGGACTGAAACTCTGCAATATAATTTTAATTATACCTGTAATTTTAATTAAATGTGGCATTTTGAATCAAAATATCTTTGATGTCTTTTCAGGCAAGACATAACTTCGGAATTGTGGAGATAGATGGAATGCTATATATTTTAGGAGGAGAGGATGGTGATAAAGAGCTAATTTCAATGGAATGTTATGATATTTATTCTAAAACCTGGACAAAGCAACCTGATTTGACCATGGTTAGAAAGGTGAGAACTATATATTGTGATAAATAGCTTACTTAAATTGGATTTCAAAGTTAATATTTCTTCATTTCCTACACATCTTTTAATACAATTGTGTTAAAGACATTAATGTTACAGAATTCTATCTCCATTGGTAGCTTGCTTTCATTATCATTAGCTATACCCCAAGTCAGAAAACCCAGTGTATTTACTTGGTGGCAGGCTCTGTGCTGCCCTGCTGTGTCTGGCCAGTCTTTAAGGCCTGCTTTGGGAGTGCAGTGCCCCAGGGAGCAAGCAGTTCTTCCAGGAATATTTCTTAATTGTGTAGGGTGAGAGGCAAACATTAACCTCTAGGTAAAGAGCTTGCTGAGTAGAGTGAAAACAAATGGCTCACTGAGTTTTAAGACAGTCTGCTATATTTATATCCCCCGAGGTAGGCAAGGAGGCCATCAGGGCAGAGCTCTGCTAGTGCTGTAGGCATCTAACACCATTAGTACTGGGATGCCCTCAAACTATGTTCTCTCACTGTTGGTGCCCTTTCAGTTAAATTTCAACTAACTCATTATGGGCAGGAATGGAGGAGCATCTTTCTCCATAGAATATAAATCTTGAAGTCTAAGTAACATTGAAAGAAGAGAGAGCTTTCCAGTCCCTGCAGTGCTCTCTAGATATGTTGTTATTCATCTGACTTTAATAATAAATGTCTCCTATCTTGTTGTTTCCTCCTTCCAGATTGGCTGCTATGCAGCTATGAAAAAGAAAATTTATGCAATGGGTGGAGGATCATATGGAAAACTTTTTGAATCTGTGGAATGTTATGACCCAAGAACCCAGCAGTGGACTGCTATATGTCCATTAAAAGAAAGAAGGTGAGGGAGGCATCATGGACTTGGACTTGCAGGCTGCCTGTGGGTGGTTGGGTCAGAAGTCACTTCATCTGGCTTTGCTCCTCCTTTCTTTCAAACTAACTTTCATTTGGCTCAGCATTTGTGTATATTAAGTGAATAATCCATTTCTTGAGAAGGGAAGGTGACCACACATGAAACCCTGCATGTTAGAGTTAAAACAAGCATATGCAGAATGAGGGAATCAGACCGTGACTTGTAAATACAGAATTTACTATGCTCTCTGTGCCCTTCAGGTTTGGAGCAGTAGCCTGTGGTGTGGCCATGGAACTGTATGTTTTTGGAGGAGTCAGAAGTCGAGAGGACATCCAGGGCAGTGAGATGGTAACTTGCAAATCTGAGTTCTACCACGATGAGTTTAAAAGGTAATTTAAGAATGGGTTTGTATCAGTTCTCCAGCTTTTTCTTTGTGTTTTCAGAGTCATGGTTCAGCTTTTGTTTTCAAGTTGATTTTTGTTGTTTGTTTAGGGGCTGTGTCTGATGCATACAAGATACTTAGTGACTTCAGAAGTATTGGTAACTTGAAGGAAAGTCATAGAAAAACCTTGCATTCTAAAATGTAGATCAGATCTTGACACTTATTTAAAGTCTTTCATTGTGTCCTTATAACTACTAGGAAAAAGTTTAAACTTGTCTAGTACCTATAGCTAGCCTCTTGTGATATTGCCTTCTGTCTACTCTTTATGTGTTGTTCAAACAAAATACTTCACTCGAGCCATTCTAAACTATATTTCCCCCTAGACACACCAAAATGTGTTGTTATTATTATGGCTTTGTGCTTCTGTAAGATTCCTCTTGCCTAAACTTTCTCTTCCACATTTGTCCAGTTATTTGGCCCCTTTTCAGACCTCTGCTTACCTATCACTACTTAGAGAAAGCTTTCTTCTGTCTTCATGTCTGATTTAGATTCCTCAGTCTTTGAGCTTTTAACAAATTGTTGTTTTTCTCTGGGCCTATAATCATTAGTTGTAAGCTCCTTAAGGCTAACATCCAGTGTAGTCAACTTTGGATTATGACTTTTCAAATCACATTTGGCTTGCATTAGAGACAACCAGTAATGTTGATCATTGGATGAAACATGGTGCTGGAGATTCCTAATACATCTGACAGATTTTCATGTCTTGTAGAATAGAAAACATCCTTCCTAGCCATTTTCTCTCTTCTCTCCACTCATATGTTTCAGTGTTGTAGCCACTGCAACTATTTAGACTTTGATAGAGTAGGGAAACTGCGGCACTAAAATTACCTGGTTGAAGTATTACATTCATATTACCAGGAGGGGGTGCCATAATATAATGTTCAATTTCATGCTATTTTAAACACTCAGTGCAAACACTGAGCAGTTACCAGTATTTTAGAACTACAAATAAATGTTACCTAACTTTGGGCCCTCCCTGGTGGTGCAGTAGGTTAAATCACAGCACTAAGAAGCTAAAACCACTTCAGCATGAGTTCGATTCTCACCTGCCCCGGAGGGATCCACATGGCACGGCAGACCTCTCCTGACCTGCCCGCTGCACCCCTCAGCAGTGTACTTCGATGACCTGTCTGTTCTGCTCCCCACTCTGTCTCTGGTGAATCCTCTCATCGCCCCTGAGCCTCTGGCCTATTCCCCAGTTCTGTAAGCATAAATAAATAAACCTTTTTTTAAAAAAAAATTTTTTTTAAAAGTTACCTAACTTGGCCCTCCCTGGTGGTGCAGTGGGTTAAAGCACAGCACTAAGAAGTCAAAGCCACTTCCTCATGAGTTCGATCCCCACCTGCCCCAGAGGTGACCACATGGCGTGGCAGACCTCTCCTGACCCGCCCGCTGCTCCCCTCAGCAGTGTACTTCGTTGATCTGCCTGTTCTGCTCCCACTCTGTCTCTGGTGAATCCTCTCACCCTCCGCATCTCTGGCCTGTACCCCAGTTCTGTATGAATAAATAAATAAATCTTTTAAAAAAAAAAAGTTACCTAACTTTAATGTATTTTAAAGTTTTGGGTATTTTGTATAGATCTTTTTTTTTTCTTTCAATTATAGAATTAAACCACCTTTGGAAAATTTATTAGACAAAGTGTGAAGGCATTCCAGAGGATGTTTGCTCTGGTGGGGATAAGGAGCAGAATTTCAAAGATTTTCTCTTCCTTAATAGATTATTGTGAAGGCAGATTGTCCAAGGTCTGAAGTAGCATATCAATTCTCTGCCCAATTGAATTTTGAGACAGCCTGCCCAACTTCACAGTGATCATATGTTTTCTGTAGAATATTGATAAAAGTCTTTTTTATAATGTTTGAATTTCTTCTTCCACTGTCTCAGATAGAGCTCTGTAGCCAACACACTGGGGTAATCAAGGCTGCTTGTGGTTTTGATCATGTAGGACTTAACCTGGCTGTGAAGGCTTTTTTTTTTTAACCTACCCTTGACTTGCTATAAATTGTTGGTACCTCTATTTTTGTCAGGTTATTTCATGTTCATAATCAATAAACTTCAAATAGAAGTGTATCAGTTTGTAATTGTAAAATGTAAGAGTTGTTCTTTCCTTGCTATTGTAAGGTGCTTTCAAATAAAACTCTTATACCTTTAGTTTCCTTCTTTCTAAGCTCTCCAGTGTCCATTGTAAACAGAATAAAGAGAGCTGTTAATTTCTCTTGTCAGTATTATACATAAGATTCTTGTCTAGAACACAAATAATACTTCAGTGCTGTGTATGAACTTACTTAACTCAGAGCTACCCTCTAAGACAGATCCTCTTTTCATTCTTATTTTTTTGCACAAGAGGAAACCAAAATCAGAGGTTAATTAAGCAACATGCCCAAAAGACACGCAAGGTGGTGAGCAGCCCGTAGAACCTGAACTTGGCATCCTGGCCCAAAATCCATCTGATCAGCTGTCATACTGTATTGCCTTAATTAGGATCACAGGGTTTCCCATAGATACATAAGGAGCAGTTTTAATTATTAAAAGATAGATGTTTCCAAGGATGTTATATTTGCATACTATGGAAACTGTCGCCAGAGTAGTGATCTGTGTAATAGTGGAGGCCATTTATTGTTTTTAAGTAATCTCTTGTCTTTCCTGTCTTTGTTCCCTATTTTTAGGTTAAACTTTCCTGGAAAAATGCCATATCTTATTTTCTGTGTTTCTGACTAAAAACAGAAGTGCTTGAAGGAGAGCAGAGAAAATGCCATAAGTTATACAAAGTTGTAGCAACAGCTTAATATAGCCAGAAAGACATTCTCTTTATTTCCATGTGTCTCTGTTCCATCTACCTCTGTTCTTTTATTAATAGAACCACCCTCCCAGGTATACATGCTCAAGAAAAGTTATCTTTGATTTTTTTTCTTTGCTGCTCATGTCACTATTGCTACTCCTCCTTTTTAACTATTAATGTCAGTATTCACCTTCATTTCTCAGCTACTCCCAGTGTATTCAGTCTTTCATACATGCCAGTCTTGTCTAACATGTTTTACCTGCTTGTGCCTTTGAAAAATTAATATGATTTGGTCATTTCATTCTCATGCTGAACTTTTTTCATATTGCTCCATTGCTCACCAAATAAAGATAATACTACTTAGCCTTCTACTCAGAAACTTCCACAGCCTTATTTTTACAGTTTCATACTTTCAAATGTTCTTTACTCTAACTCACTTATCTGGTGCTTTGGAAGTAGCAGGTAGTACAGATGTCTTTGTGAGACATGAACAAGAGCATGGGAGTTGAACCCCACTCTGCATCAAGCTTGTTCACTAGTGGCACACTCAGGAGGCAGAAATCTGAACAGGGGAGATTTGATATGTGTAATAACTAGTAAGAGGTGGTTGGTTACCTGCTAATGGATGAAAAAGGACTTGAATGAATACAGAAATAGCTAATATAGGAAGCATGACTACCATTGTTTAGGACTGAGGGAAGATGCCCCAAGAAGTTCTTCCATCCCACAAGGCTAGAACTCACCTCAGCAGAACAGGGCAGGTACCTGTGGGTCTCCTGTGCTCTTCCAGCAAGTATTGGTGCAGGAGAACAAGGCACCCAGAGCCCATGAAAGCAGGCGCTCCTCTCTCCAGCCTTGTGGCCTCTTGAGTGCCCTCTGTTTGACAAAGCCTGACACTTCATTTAATTTTCACAGAACCACTGTGTTCATTTTCTCAGTTGTATATTTTGTGTTCTATTGGTTCCTGTTCTTTTCTTTTCTTTTTTTTTTTTTTTAAGATTTATTTATTTATACATACAGAGCTGGGGTACAGACCAGAGGGGGGAAAGGGAGTAAGTGATTCATCAGAAACAGTAGGGTTCAAAACAGGCAGATTGACTGAAATACACTGCTGAGTGGAGCAGCTAGCAGGTCAGGAGAGATCTGCCACACAATGTGGGTCACATCCCTGGCTAGGAATTGAACTCATGCTGCAGTGGCTGTGATAGCTTCATAGTGCTGTGCTTTAACCCATTGCACCACCAGGGAGGGCCCAGTTTCTGTCCTTATGATTATTGTTCCCTTCTTTGTACTTACATTGTGTTTATTTTGCCTTTCAGGTAGAATTTTAGATCTTTATTTGTGCTGAAATGTCCAATCTTCTCATCATAAGCATGTTTTCCTTTCCCTTACTGAGCATAGTTACGTGGCTACATTCAAGTCCCTGCCTGATAGATAATCCCAGCATCTGAGTCATCTCTAAGTTGGCATCATTGGTTGTTTACTCCCTTGAGAATGACTTCTCATTTTCTGGTTCTTCTTTTGTTGAGTAATCTGGATCACATCCTGGACGTTGTGGCTGGCCTATTGTGGAGGGCCACGTGCCTGTTGCTTAGCGATGTTCCTCTGAGAGTTTGAGCAGTAGTGGACTTGGGAAGATAAGTCCGGGGTACCCCCGTTGGGCTCGTGCCTCATACCATACACAAAAATTAACTCAAAATGTACCATAAGACCTAAATATAAATCCAAAAAAAGCAATATAGGAGAAAAGTCTTTGTAGTCTTGGAGTAGGTAAAGATGTCCTAGAAGGAAACAAAACAAATACATTAAATGTTGTATTGAATCAAAATTTAAACTTCTGTTAAGTCTGCATTTAGAAAATAAAAGACAGTCCATGGCTGCTGTGGGAAATTCTCATAATACATGTATCTCACTAAGGACTAGTAACCACAAAACATCAAGAGTCTCACAATTCAATAAGAAGACAGAAAACCCAATTTTAAACACCAGCACATGTTTGAGCAGACATTTCACCAGGCTTTCCTATTGTTATGGATGGCCAGGGAGCACCTACAGATCAACTTCCACAGTACTCTCCAGGTTTTCGCACAATGTGGCTAATGTGAAGTGGCTAATGTGAAGAAGACCGACAGTGCCAAGATCTGGCCATATGCTAGGCAGCTGGACTTCTCTGATGTTGCTAAATGAGGTGCATGGTGGCAGAACCTTTCGAAACAATGCAGTATAAATAACTTTATTTATACTTTATTAAGTATATTAAGGTATAATAAGTATGCCTTTAGTGATATAACCCAGCAATTTCATAACTTAAGTCCACAAGAAAAGATTTGAACTCTGATATTCAAAATGGCTTTATTGGGAGGTGCCCAAATGACCATGAGCAGGTGAATATATTAACAAATTCTAGTATAGTCCTGTAACAAAATACTAAAGAATTAAATTCTTGATGCAGGTAATACTGATTGAGTCTTAGAGACATGGTGCTGTGCAAAAAATGAGATTGAAATGTGTGTGCTCCTCAAAGCAGTACATACAGGTATTCCTATAAAGAACTAGATGTCTAAACAGTACCCCCCTTGTCCGAGGGTTACCTGAAACCACAGACGATATCAAACCTATACATTTTATGTGTGCTAACATACATGCTCATGGTAAGGTTTAATTTATGAATTAGGTATTGTAAAATTAGCAGTAATAACAAGATACAACACATAATGCAAATGTGGTGGTCTCTCAAAATATCTTACTGTACAAAATTATCTAGACCATAGCTGACCATGGATAACTGAAAACATGGAAAGCTAAATTGTGATTAAAGGAATTGCTGTATTAGAAAAGGGGAAAAAACTCTCAAACCCTCACTTCTTCCATTAGAAATGGGAAAAAACTGGCACAAATAAACCGAAGGTAGGCAGAATAAAGGAAACGATAAATACTTATGTGGAAACCAATGAAATAGAAAATAGATTTTTAAAACTAAAATCCAAGAACCAAAATCTGAAATGTTGAAAATAGTGTTAATGTAGATACACCTCTATCCAGATTGATCAGGAAAAATAGAAGATACAAATTACCAATATTAGGAATGACAAAAGTAGCATAACTCAGATACTGTGTAACTTTTACAAGATAGTAAGACTTTTATGAGCATCATAAAATACATTAAGGCATTATGAATAAAAATTCAGATCCAGCCAAGAAAGAGAACCTCTGGTAAGTGCTGTCAGTATTCAAAGATGACATAATAAGGTTATGTGCTGAAGAAGTGTTCAAGGTTCATATGAATATAAGGGCTGAGATAGATTGAATGGTTTATCTTAAGTTATATATACAATTATTCATGGTATTTCTGTGGTACACTAAGAAGATAATGCTTCTTCACTCCTTAATTTGGTGCTAGAGAATTTCTGGATGGTGAGGATAGTGAAGGCTTTGAAGGTCAATGGAGAGGGGTCTGAATATTGAGTCTACTTGGGTCTGACTGTATGATCCAGAAGTCATTTCATTTATGAAGAAGTCTTGTCATAAAAGTGTTTTTGTAAAGATAAAATGAAATATGATATGTAGTAAGTAGCATTCTTTGAATAAGTTATATCTTTAAATAAGTTATGTTATGAAAAATGCATATTCTTTATATTATGTGTGACATTCTAAAATGGGCAAAACTAGTATATGTAGTGGCAGGAAACAGATCAATGGAATGTGGAGGGTTGAGACTAACTAGTACTCTTGGTGAACAACCAGGTCTTGTCTCCTTTTCTAGATGTTAAGGACATCCTTTTGATTTCCCTTATTTTGTCTGTTTGCAGGTGGATCTACCTTAATGACCAGAACTTATGCATCCCAGCCAGTTCCTCTTTTGTTTATGGAGCTGTACCCATAGGAGCAAGTATTTATGTTATTGGAGACCTGGATACAGGTAAGAATGTGGCATTGATTTTGTTGGAGCTGGTTCCCAGGAGCTAAAAGGCTGTTGTCTCACCTTTGCTCTTTCTCATGCTTTAGGTACCAATTACGACTATGTGCGCGAGTTTAAAAGGAGCACAGGAACCTGGCACCACACTAAACCATTGCTTCCATCCGACCTCCGACGCACTGGGTGTGCAGCCTTACGCATTGCAAATTGCAAGCTTTTCCGCCTGCAGCTTCAGCAAGGCTTATTCCGCATCCGAGTGCATTCCCCGTGAGAGGGAGCAGAGCAGAAGCAGAGCCCTGACCAAATGCACGCACGGCTCTCTGAGGGGAGGGCAGCAGCGAAGCCTGCTCTGCGCGCCTGCCTTTGTCTGGTACCTCTGGTGGTTTTGTAGTGCTTAAAAGCTTGAGCTTCAGCTCTGGTTTGGGAGAACACTTAATTTTTGAAAAACCACCTGGGAGGAATCAGTTCCTCCAGTTTGATGTGTGTATAGACAAATGGAGGCTAGTAAATGTCAAAAGGAAAAGGGAAGTGGGAATTGGTACAGTGTAAAATATTGAAGTTAAAATACTAAGGTGCATTTTCCCTGAAGGGAACTCTTACCAGACAGATTGCTTTGTTCCAGTACCTGGCTTTGGTAAACAAACAAAACTCCATATATGCAGATCAACATATCTCAAACATACCAAGGTTGCTTTTCTACTGCACTTGGAAGGAAATATTATGCCTAACCCTGCCCAAAAAATTAAGGTTTGTGCCTAAATATTAGGTTGGGCTATAAGCCAGCTAGTCTCCATTTACTAGTACTCTGTTCTAAGAATCGTTTAAAAACTAGATTATGATGAATAGAAACTAAGATAAAATTTCTCTTTTATGACATTCTATCTTAGTAATCTAAAGATGCAGTGATTTAACGAGTCAGGTTTCAGCCCTCACCTGGATTTAAAGAAGTTGCTGACATTTCTGTTAATGTAGCGTCCGGTGCATCGTGCCATCACCTGTGGGGCAGAGCTTGTGGGATTGTAGAGGGTCTCATGCCATGCTGTTCTTCCTTCTCAGTTACCAGAACCATTTGATAAATAGAAGGGCACTAGTATGTAGAAGATTTTTTAAAAGAAAGGCCTGAGTCAGACAAATAATAAAGGTCTGCTATGACTTAAAGAAAAAAAGAAAAAAGAAAACTCTATTCAAATAAAAGATAGGGATCAAAAATTTTTTAAAATACAGAGTCCCTGACTTACGATGGTTTATTGGAGGTTTTTTGACCTGACATTTGTGTGAAAACAATACCTGTTCTGTAGCACTCTTTTGTGATGCAGAACTGTGCAGGCCACCATAGCTCCCAGGGCAGGTGGTCGCTGACATGTTTCCACACAGGACAAGTGTAAGGGTGTGTGACCCATCGTAAGTTGAGGAAGATCTGTACTCTGAAAGCACACAGTCTTGTTTACTACCGCATAGGATTTGAAAACTTGTATTAAGATTCAAACCTCTGTTAAGAGTCTAGTCCTTATAGTGAATTTCCTTGATGCCGTTCATTAGTAAGAGTTTTAGACAAATTATGTTATGAGTAAAGTTTGGCTGGTAGAATAAACTACCTCAACTTAATTTCATTCTGTTCATAGTCTAACATATTCGTCTTTTCCTCCTTTCTCTCTCATTCCCAAGTCAGCCCACTCCACCCCACACCCACTGGGGGAGAAGAGACTGTCATTGGTGGCACTTATCTTGTACGATATTTTGTTTTCCATTCAAATTATACCACCTCCGTGTGACATTAAGAAATTCGGAGTACTTGATTACATCATAATTTGAATTTTATGCAATATGAGATTTCTAATCAATTTAATATAGAGTTCACTTTAAATTGTTTTCTACCAGTTTCTTTTTTTTCTCTTAGACTAGGACTACAAAGGCAGAATTTTGTCTTAATGATTAATAAATGTACATATGTATCCTTAGGTTGTAAATCTGAGAACAGGAATTGCTTCTAGAAACTTTCTATAAGGAATCTTTGTATGCTGTTATCATGCATATGAAACATCTATGTTTTCCCACCCACAAACAGAAAAAAGGGTGACCTGGCTGCACTTTCTTCTTACACCTGTTAGGAGTCAGGGCTTATAAAAGCTGCTGAAAGGAGCCCGGCCAGTGGGCTGCTGAAGGATGTCCTGTGTGACATGGGCCTCTCTGTTCTGGCAGAAGATGTTGGCACGAGCAGGTATGAGGTTTTTGTCTTCTCATCAGAGGCACTGGGCCAGACTGCCACACAGTCACATAACATGACCAGTTCTAAATAGAAAGCACAGCCAGGCTTCTCCCTTTGTGTTGTGCACCTGTTGGCTGTGGTTTCGCACTCCCCCGCAGCACTCTGGATCCCTTTCATCACAACAAACCCAGTGGCCAATGCAAAGAAGAAGACTTTTCTTCTTGTAATTAGGTAGGAGTTTTAGGGCATCTGCTGGTAAAGTAGGTTTTCTTTGGCAAAATATTCTATACAGTACAGAACATTCAGAAGCTGCAGTTCAGTGCAGTTAAGTGGTAATTGAGAGTCTAGGAAAGCCATGGTAAGCAGCCATTTTTCCTTCATTTCTGAAGTTTAAAATTCTTCTCTGTCTGTGTCAGGCCTCTCCAAAGAGACAATTCATTGTTGGAGTGATAATGCATCCCTATTGCAATATTCTCAGTGCCTGTGTGGGACTTGGGCAATTCCTTTTATAAAAGTAGGTATTTTTAATATTTAGTTCATTGACACTGTAGCTGCAGAAATTAGGTGGTGTTTTTAAAAATAAATTTGTCACATAACATGGGATGCAATAACCAACACAAGCTGCTAAGTGCCAAATCCTTGTTTTACTTACATAAATATAGAAATATTATGTTGAAGTGTAGGGGGGTATTTAATGTTATTATGTTCTAAAATTAATCATGACTTTTGGTAACTTAACAGTTATTTAAGTTATTATGAAATAAATTTTTACTCATTTCATGCAGGTTTGTGTTTTAACATTCCACTTATGCCTTGACACATCCTTTCTTGATGAATTTTTGGTACTTTCTTTTATAAGGCACTTTTACCAGTTATATGTAGGGATTGGTGACTAAGGATAGATTTTTAAATGTTTAATATAAAAGTCTTTGGGAGAAGTGCAATTTGTTTTCATTATCCCACCCATAGAAGGAAAAGTTGTCTCAGGGTCAAGTAAATGAGTATTTAAAGGATCTTTCCTAGGCTGTAGTCTAAAGTAGGTTTGTTTGTTTCCTTAACACATCCAAATATAGATCTTTCAATGAATTGCATGTTCAGTTTAAAATGAAGATTTTTTTAATTTACATGTTTATATCTTGCAAGAAGAAGAGGTGTGTGAGTGATGAGTGTGTGTGTGAGAGTGAGAGAGACTTGGTAAGTCTGTAGATGTTTACTTTTTGAATTGTAGTTCCATACTACATAAATTACTGTCTCCTGGTGCTTCAGATAAATTCCTGAGCCTGTGGCCCTTTAGTTTATACTACTGTGTTAAACTCATGTTGAGTGTAAATATTGAAATATTTGTAATTCGTAGTAAGTTTTACTTGATGTTTGCATTTTTCTTTAGTAAGATTAAAAACTGTCTACCAGTAATAGTTGGTAATTACTAAGATTTGGCCTAAAAGATCTCTAAATTCTTTATTTCCTTTGTTTATTATTTTGTTATTGTGAGTAGCTAGTAGGCTTTTCTCAAACTGCAACAACCGGAAAAAGAATATGAGACCCGCAGGACTGTGTGTCTTGATATTGATGGGTTGTATTAAGTTGCACTAGCACCTTCATGCCGGCACTTTGAAAGTGCCTTTTTATCCTTTATATGTAATGGAGTTCCTTTGGCAATATACAGGAACTGCATGCCCTGTCCTGACCCTGTAATGGTGGGGCTATCTTTGGTGTGACCCACATTACCATGGGCAATAAGTTGGGTGTTGAGAGGTGGAAGTTAGCTGCTTTAGACCATTGGCCGTCCATGTGGCCCTTCCTGCTTCCAGTCCAGGGATCCCAGAAATTTTCCAGGGTGTGCTATAAACTAGACATTACAGTATTAACCTCCCAGACTGTCACCTTTCCTGATTAAGGAGAGGCCTCCTGTGGTTATTGAAGACATTTGATGATCTGGGGAGAGAATGATTAGCCCTTCATCCATGTTGAAATTGCTGTTATCCCCTCAGAAGGCACAGATGGAGGGAAGAATGAGGCTGCTGCTTTCCAGTGTGCACCTGGGGGCCCGGGAGAGACTGATGGGTATAAAAAAGTCTTTCCTGGCTTAGTCAGCAAAGGCTTTTGAGCCCCTACTAAGAATTCTGCTTGGTTTTCTGGGAGACTTAACAGTGAGGCAGATTAACACCGTCTTCCCTCTAGATGATGAGCCTCTTGTGGCCATCCATCCTCAGTCACCTGCTGACTCCCACACCTGCCACACAGTAGGTTGCCAGTGAATATCTGACCAGTGTCTACCTTACACTCGTGACCTGTGTGCTGGTCTTCCCAGGATTGAAAAGTCTCCCACAGTGACTTATTTTGCTGGATTTTATACGAGCAACTTGGCACACCTAGGGCTGATCTGGTAACACAGAGTAGAGACTCATACAGATCACACTGCACAGAGCACCTGGCACACCAGGCTGGTCTCCATATGCCCTGCAGGGCCTTTGAGACCCGACACATGCACACACTAATGTTTATCACCTTTAATCTTGGGTTTTGTTTACTGTGTTTTACATGGGGCTCAAATCTTTTCCAGAACCTACTGCACTGATCCTCACATCTCTGTGATGGGTACTGCACCCGCCATTGGATGGAGAGCGGCCTTTGCGGTCATCTCAGGTTGGATGTGAGTAGAAACCATAAGCAGAAGCCAGGGCTTCAGATTTTCATTTCACCTGTCATTAGCCTGCTAGATTTTCACCTAATCTTTAGGCACACAAGTATTTTTAGTGAAATAATTTTCAATGTAAATATAAACATTAATGATCATTTTCAACGTAAGCTCCTGAACACATCTTTTGCAAGTTGCACAGATCCAAGTTTAAAAAAGAGAAACTATGTATTTGAAAGACAAATTTTTTACTTTCCAAGAGCTGCTTCTTTGCTTTTTCCTGCTTTACCACATGTAATCATTAAGGGGAAAGAATTATATCTTAGAACGATGAGGAAAATATTTTTGCCAACTTTTGAAGAATCATTGCAATATTTTGTATAGTGGCTTCAGAAATCATAGCAAGTTATGGCATAAGGGTGACTGACCTTCTTGCCCATATTTTAGATGAGCATCTGCCAGCTGGCAGTGAAATTTCATAGGATTGAACTTTTTTCTATCTCTTTGGCAAGCAGCTGGTAAAACTGTTAACATTTTTGTATTTTCAGAAGTAATTATGTTATTACTTTGACTTTCAATATATCTCAGCTTTGCTTCATTGCAGTAGTTCCACACACGTGACATATAAGGAACTCAGTTTTGCTTGGATATGACTGTATTCTTTGGTTGATGCAAACAGTTTAGGGAAGTCTGTTCTTTTTCAATCCTGTCGTTGAAGCTAAGTGATGGGTTTTAAACTTTCTCCCTTTCTCATGAAATCAAATAATTTAAAAACAAAGTAATTAAGTAGTGAGAAATATCTGTTGCCTTCTCTTCTTCATTTTGAGATTAAAAACTAATCTTTTAAAACTATTGCTTAACTGAAATTTAGTCTAATTATAATTTTTTATATTGATGCCCTCATGGTCAAACATAGTTGTAAATTCTTAAATCACTGTGATTTGAATTCAAGAAGTCTGAGGGTGGGGGGTGGGAATTGGCACCCAGCATCCAGACAAACTGCACCTGTTGAAGTGAGAATGATTAGCCAGTTAACATGACTCACGTTACAAAAACGACCACTTCAAATAATTCAGGTCTCAAATGGAGGTAGGTTCAATTGTTCTCTCTGGTTGGCAAATTATTTTTATTTGAACTTTATTTTTAAGGACTTCAGTATGAATGGTAGGTTCCACAGAACCTTATTTTTATGGTTCTTACTTAGTAATTACAAATAAGGTGGTGGGGGGGTGTTGAATTTTTTCAAGTTAAATCACTGAACTTGGTTTAAGTATGACTCTGTAGTTTACTTTATTGTGCTTCCTGTTTAATTGGATGAGAATTACATGCATTTATTCCCTTGTTCTTTGTGTTGATTGGAAAAACTCTGCTCTTGGCTACCTCATTATGTAGTGTGCTTGATCCCCTGCCAGTTTAGAAGAATTCAACACATTCTGTCCTTTAACAAAAGCCTGGAAGCAAGCAGTAAATGGCCTTGAGGAATACAATTCTCTAAGGCAGATTTTTCCATTTTACTACTTTTTTTTTTAATAGGCACTTTTAATCAGGAGAAACAATAATTCTCCTAGAGCTGCTGCAAAGTGATTACTTGAAACCCAACTTGAACTTTAAAGAGTCTTTAAAAGGCTTTGTTTTCATAACGTAGAAAAGTAGTATATTTAAACACCACTGCTGTGTAAAATAGAGGACTTAATTTCTATCTTTTAGAGGATCAGATGGGAATATTTGACCCTGGAATTTGACCCTGGAATTTAGTTTGAGGCGATTCTTTTCATTTTCTACAAGGTGCTATTATGAACAGTTTAAGGATCTATTAAATGTATTTCATGAATTTGCCATTAATTTTTCATTTCAATGAAAATGGCTCATTTTTAAGTTCCTCTTCTCTTTTAGTACTGGTGACTGAGGGCTTTAAGATGAAACTCTGAGAGGGTTTCCTCAATGCAGGGGTGAGGTGGGCCAGACAGTATAGAATTGTATCATATTTGTTTCCTGGGCCCTCAGACTGTGCCTTCCCCCAGGGCACATGTGGGGCTCTGTCCTTCCTGGCAGCAGACCTGCTTGTCAAGATAGGGGAGCAGAAATGC